AGCATCTCCACCGTATCTATTTTTAAACATGTCCTACGCCAAGTGAAGCGAAGGTATTTTCCAGGCACATTTACCACATTCATGGCAGGTTTCCATAAGAACATTTTGTTGTCGGAAGGGGTGTAGCACTTCCACTCCTGCTGATACAGCTTGTGCACATGTTGCAAGAGCAAAATAATAGGAAATCCATAATGAAGTTGGAAGAGAATTTTGCCTTATCATATATTCATTCATGAAGGACATTAGATTTTTTAAAATATGATTAACTACTTAAATTAACAAAAAAAATCCTGTGAATGTTTGTATGAAAGGACCATACAGAAGGCTGCCTCTTCCTTCTTGTCCTGCTACTTCAGATAGGTGCACCCAGAAAACGTTATCCTTAAACAAAAAAAGTACTAGCTATTTCCAGCTCAATACAGACTTGCACACGAGGACAACTGCTTTGGCAGTCTTGCCATAGCAGGAGACATTACTCTAAGCCACGCTGCATCATGGACACCTCCGCCCCACAGCAATTTGGGTTTGAGTAACAGCCCTGCTGCCGATGCCCCTCGCAGCCCAGCGCCCAGGCAGCCGGGGACGAGCGATGCCCTTTCCTAGCAGCAGAAACCTGAAGCACGGAGAGATTCAGGGCTCTGACAAAGCCAAATGCAAGCATTTAAAAAAAACATACCATAGACTTTCTGTCTACGCATTGAAACTGCGCTTTATCACCGCCGTGCCAGACAACTGCCGCCACCTTATCTCTGCGGTTGCACCTCACCAGGACTCGCCTCTCTTCGCCGGGTCCATCACAACATGGCTGATCACGCTGCTTCCCGCAGCGCTGCCAACACTTATCTCCCCATTTCCCCACCCTTCCCAGCCCACTAGCAGACATGCCCATCACCCCGAAGCAGCTGAGCAGGTACAGAAAGCCAGGCGCGCAGCCAGCTCTCACCCCCTCGCCAGCGTGTAAGCCACAGCGGCGCTTGGGGGTCACCCCATCAGCCCCACACAGCGCAGGGCTGCAGACATGCCACGCTGTAATGTTGCACATCACCTTGAAGATTTGCTAGATTTCTTGTCTGTTATCCGTTTGGGGGATGCCACGCTGTGTTTAGATTTAATCCTTTCTCCGCGTACTGACACAATGAAAAGGTGACAGTGTGGGGGTGGAAGCCCTTGCCAAGAACTTGCTGTAGGATGGGTATTTGCATCTGCTGTTTGCTGCCAAAAATAGCAGCTAACCTGAGCTAAGGTAAAAGAGAGCACTGAGCAGGAGGAGATGGTGTGAGAGCAGCCAGGAGACTCATTTATGGGTTATTCTGTCTTTGGGCAATTCCTCTTTGTTCAGTACTGGGGTCACCAGAACAGGAATGAGTACTGTCCCATCCTGAAGAGGCAATTAAAACCTATGGATCTACTGTGGCGAAGAGTGGTATGTCCTAAACTCAACAGGCTCCCCAAAATACCACTGACTCCTCCCAAAATTGCAGTATATTCAGGTGCATTGATCTGTGAAAAATAGATACACACAGGTGTCCATGCTGGCAGGTAGAGGATCATTTTTAAGGGTCCTTCACAACTTAAAGCCTTCCTCCACGTGCTAACTGTTACGACTGCAGCACACAGCAGCACCAGAGACTTTGTCAAGACAGTTTTTAAACTCCTAAGGCAGGTATTTCTTTTTCAGCTTGAATTTAAGCTTTGTTACAGTTCCTGAATAGGGCACAACCAGCCTTCCAGAAAAGCTGGTTTGTTTTGCATATGTTGCAATGCTTCAGCGCGCAGGAGAAACTATAACCAAAAAGCCTCATAAATTTTATCAAGTATTATGTATGCTTTAGCAATACATTAACTCCTCATCTATCTTCTTGAAAGATTTCACCGCTCCACTCCAGCCGTGTAGCTTCCCAGTAGGGAAGACCCAGGACAAATCTATTAGTGCTATGAATAATATTGTGGGACTCATCCACATCAAAACCCCTCCCTTCAGCACAAGCTGCCATGAGCAATGCTGGAGCAGTGGTTAGGGCTCCCTGTGCTAGTTCAGCTAAGGGATAGCTATATTTAATTTTACTGTTATTTAGTATGATCTAGTTTTGATAACATCTACATCCCTGATCTGATTTTTTGTTGTTGTTTAAATGCATAGAAAGTGCTTCTGGTCCCAGAGGACATCTATCCCACCTGCAGCAAGAGGTCCCAGGTGGGAGATGCCTTGGTCTCCCCCAGGGATTCCCTCCATGGCTAACGAGCTCAACACTGCCAAGATTTTTCTGAGCTTTACCCTCAGTCTCCTCCATCACCATTTAAGCCAGTTATTTCTGGCTTGATCTTATCTGTGCATCATGGACATTAAAGAAAGCAATCCACGCACACAGAAACGTATTCCTTACAAAACTGGCTGTTCCCGTTCCCTTGCTAATCTCTCTGCTCCCACTTATCTTACGCCTGCTCATTTCTCAGTACACGCCAGAAGGGCATCCCTGCACCCCCGGCCCCCAGCTTGGGGTGGAGGGAGGGCTGTCCCACATGCCAAAAGGGGAGTTTAAAATAGCCTTTGAGTCAAGCCGTCACTGGTTTCCTTGCACTTGCAGCTCCTTCCCGAATACAAACCCACCCCTGCCTGACATTTTGTCACTTTTTAAGTGAGACCCGTCGAGATGGCCTCAGTCTCCGTGCAGTGCTGCACCCTCTGCAGCGGCTGGCATCAGATGTAGCCGGAGGGTCCCCGTGTCACTGGTGCAGAGGTACCTTGTGGCTCATGCTCCAAAATCTGTCCCCTGTGGGAACAGGTTGAGCACTGTCGCAGGGCCAGACCAGCCAGCTACAGAAGTCGCTTGCTTAGCCCTTTAACAATACACTAGCAAATCTTTTTTTTCTTTTTACGTGGCTTTCGGGGGCAGTATAAGATTTAATAATGTTGCTTTAAAGGCAGCATCAACATTTTGGTGCTATTCAGTGTATTTCCTAAAGTGGCAGCTGTGACTCTCAACTTTCATCTAAAAAGAAAAATGACTCTGGCCTGCCCATGCCCATGGAAAGACTTACAGAGGAACACAGCCAGCCACAAAGCTTACAAATTAAAAAGAAAAGTTGAAAAAAAGAAAACTTTTTTCCAATGTCATGCCTTTTTAAACCGATTTCACAACTTGTGGGGGGTCTGCATCAGTTTCTTTAATCTATAGCAATATTTCCTTACTGCTGCCTTTGGCCAGCCTTATTTGAAGCTGCTGCACTGCAGACTGAGCTGCCTGGGGGCACTTCGTAACATGGTTAAATTGTAATATTGAGAAGCCAGCTTTTACACTGACACAGCCCTCGTACGCAGCGTTGCCCTTTCATAAACTGGCATGCCAGCACATGGAAAATGCCCAGCATACGTCCCATCACCCCATCCCAAGAATGTATCTTTATTGCATTACATATTATTGTATTTGGTCAGATTCTCTGATTTGCCATTGCAGTGCTATGCTATCACTTTAATACTCAGGGAATGGCTTCACCTGTGATGAGACCCTCTTGCCACAAGCAGCCCATTGCTCCAAGCAGCCCAAGACCCTCTGGGCAAGCCGGCAGGGATTCAGCAGTGGCAGGGCTATCCCTACGGCCTCCCACCTCCCTGCTCTTGCCAGGAAGCAGCCACTTGTTTATCGGTTGCCAGAGTTGTCTATTTTCTACATTAATTTCATTTCAAACCACAGATAGAGTATCTGCTTCAACACGTGTGCTGCAAACTCACAGCTGCGTGCAAGCAGAACCAGGGCAGACCGACTGGACGAGCTGCGCTTCCGGAAGCTGATTTAGAAACACGAGGACAGAATTGAAGCCAAATGCAGCAAAATTTGGCATAACTGGACATATTTAGGGAGCTTGCTATACACTGCAAGCTGAAAAGCATTTATAAAGCAGAGGGGAGGAAGAAAGCCTGGGTTTGATGGCACACAAGTTCAAAGGCTGCTGAGAAGCTGGTTTAGATGACAATACCTCATTAACGACCAGTATCCCATATTTTATTTTCATGTTTACATTAATTAGAAATGCTGTTCAACAACTCTGTAAATGAGGATTACAATACTAACTCATAAAAGAAGAAAGCACTCAGCAGAGTCCTACAACAACACGGTCTTCACATCCTTTTGGGAAAGGAGTGCTATTCAGGTATCGCTCAAGGAGTCCCAAGACTGACAAAAAAAGATCTCTCCTTTCAGACCCTGAGCAGCTATGACACACCTCTTGCAGAGCAGTTCCTGCTGCTCTGAGAGGACAACCATGCCCTGGCCCCCCACAAAAAAAGAGCATCTGTGACGTCCAGCACTCCCCTTCTACACACCCAGCACCACCTCAGCTCACACGCTAATCAAACAAAATTAGTAGAACAAAGTCACATTGTCCAGTATTTCAGTCACCCCATAATATCCCTTTAAAAATCTATGGGTGATGACTAAGCAGCACAGGTATTGCAAATATAAAGCATTATTTCTAATATTTGAGACTTTGAGATGACTTTTCAAGCACAATCTTAAACCTGTCCTGGTGGCAAGAGCACCCCTTACCCCTACATTATAGAAAACGCTAGGGGGTGGGGGTTTTGACCTCCCAGCCCCCTTGAAGATGGGCCTTCTCTTGTTTAGATTCCTCTCAGGAGGAAATGAAAGATCTTCGTTACAAAGATGCTTCTAACTCCTTTTGATAAAATACTTGGGCATGACGGGTGACAGCAGCTGTCCGAGTTCGTGCCACAGAACCGCTAATTGCAAACGTGGATGCTCATCTGAGTCTTACTGTGCTTCAGCGGAGCTGAGCGTGCACTTACCATCCTTGATTGCTGACAAACAGCAACACTTTCCCCAGGGCGTAACCAGATGAAATGCAATCATGCAAACTCTGGAAAGAAGGGTTTGGTAGGGGAGGGTCTTGTTTGGTTGGGTGGGGGCTGTGGGTTTGTTTGCCCCCTTTTTTTTTTTAATTAATTTTTTTTTACCTCACTGTGAAACCTTTGTCCTTTCCAGGTAACATCATTGGTTCTGGGATCTTTATTTCGCCAAAAGGAGTTTTGGAGCACACCGGCTCGGTGGGACTTGCTCTTATTATTTGGGTGCTTGGCGGCGGGGTGGCTGCCCTTGGCTCGCTATGTTACGCCGAACTGGGAGTCACTATCCCCAAATCAGGAGGGGATTATTCCTACGTCACAGAGATTTTTGGTGGGTTAGCTGGGTAAGTACCCTATCTCTATAAAGTAATTTGAAAACACGTTTATACTAAGTATATAAAGTGTGGAAATGATATCTGACTTGGAAGAGACAGGGAACATTTGTCAATAAAATGCTTTTGTGAAGTCATTCTTTCTGTTCTCATTAGAAATACCAAGTCGCCCCTACACAGAGCTACAGACACTTCCACTTTCCTCTCTGACTCAATAAAATCCATGCCAGGAAAGAACGATACTGTAAATGATGCTGTGTCCAAGTGACATTCCTGTGTGCCAGCCATGAGCGGTCAGTACCTCGTATTGAGGAGCTTCGCGCACCATGGAAGCCAGGCTGGAGCTACTTGCCATAAACCAAAGCCCTCCTTTAACTATCGGTGCAGAAGGCAGGAAATATTTCCATGGTGTTACATTGCGAGATCTTCCTACAGGAAGGCAAGAAGCCTCCGGGTAGGTTTCGGTGTAAAAAGGGAGGGCTGAGCCATATTTTCCAGTAAAACCAGGCTGGGATTGCACCCTGCTGCTCTTTGCTGAGCCACCACCGAAGCCTGCAGCTTCGGGGAGCTCTCACTAGCACCTTCAGTTTTCCACTTCAGAACGCCCGTTGCCCCACCGGCACTCGCACCTGGGGCTCCGAGCTCCCTTCGGGAGCCCACACTGCACCTCCCCTGGGGAAAAGACGCTGCTTCTTCGAAAGTTCAGTTTTCTCTTCTAATTTAATCCTTCTACAGCAAAGAACATCAAATTAAACACACAAAGCTTTGGTGCATCTGCCAAAGGATTTTCCTAATGGCAAATCTGGATGGTTTGGTCTACTCACACAAAGATGTTTGTTTATTATAGGAGCACATGCTGTACCCACCCAGACCACAACAGCTCCTTTTCACTGCTGTTGTCTTGTCCCGGCCCCACAACCCCCTCCCAGTTTATGATGTTTTCCTGCACAGGAATAAGGAACAAAGAAGTACTATTTGATCGCAACAGCCATTGGAGTAGTGTAAGTTCCAACTTCTGTGCCTGGCAGTATTGATAGTTGGTTGCATTAAAAAAAAAAAAAAATCGTAACGCCACTAGGTGTGATGGAATAAAAGAGGAAGAAGCAGGACAGAGCCATGTCCTGAGCTGGCAGAAGTTCTGGCTGCAGAGCAGCAGCCCTGCTCCAAGTACAGCTAAAAGACAGTGCATGAAATGCTGCTGAAAGCAGTGGTGATGGCAAAGCTCAGCTGGAGATGACCCTGCAGAAGAAGGGACACTTCCCTGGCAGCTCCAGCCAGGGGAGAAGGAAGAGGCCAGGGAGGGTTCCTGTTGCAATGGGCTCTGGTCTGGTACCAGAGAGTAGACTTCCCACTTTCATCTTTGTGTACAAATCATCTTGGTTTTAAATAGCATTTGTGTATGAGCACATTAACTGCAGGGAATGTGTCGCATCCCGTGCTGCTGGAGCCATCTAAGCACAGCTCATCTTACACGCATATGGGCTTGCACGTCTGTACAGGTCAAAAAGAGCATTACCCAAAACAGTAAATAATAGGCTTAATATGTATTCTTGCAGAAGACAATGAATGAATTCAGCTTCATTAAAAACCCACTAGTGCATTCTGATAAATACAACTTCTTCTGAATGCTCAACAATAACGTTGCAACCAACATAGCTGCTTAACCAGCAGTGACTGATGAATGGACATATACCCTTACTAAAAATCAATAGTATTGAAATCAGCAGAGAGCTCTAAGCCAAAGCTTTGACAAGTGTCACTCCAAACTGCAAGTAAAACATACTTCAAACATACTTCTATGTTTTCTTTCTGTTCTTGTTGCAAAAATCGAAAGTTTCCAAAGGCAATAATTCTTTCAGCAGTTAGGTAATAATAATATTCAAATTAGCTCCAACTTTCTTAAACCAGTTCAGGGAGGTCGTTTTACCAGCCCTTTCGCCATCAGCACGTACAGGAGCTCAGATTGCCCACATGAAGTCCAATGCTCAGAAAAGAAAAGGAGGGGGGGGAAATTAATCACAAGAGCAGCTATACCTTCCTTTTTCTCTACATTCAGCTGTCTCAAGCCTGTTTCTAAAGATCTAATCGCTTCTTAATCAGCAAGAAGAGAAGATTTAACTTCTCAGGTTCTTGTAGTGCTGTAGATTACTGAGTGACTGTGAAAGCCTATCATCAGATAGGGTTCAGCTCCTGACACCCTCAGTGCCACAACACAGCCCTCAGAGATAGGGTTCAGCTCCTGACACCCTCAGTGCCGCAACACAGTCCTCAGGGCAGCAATTCCCCCACTTTCTATTTGAAGAGCAGGGCAAAGTAACCCCAGCTGTGCCACAACAACATCTCCCTGCTTCGAGCTGCACTTTACAACATCTCCCTGCTTCGAGCTGGACTTTGCGCTCCCAGCGCCGGTTACGCTCCCTTCGCACGGCGGCCAGGGCAGAAAGCACACCTCCAGCCCTTCGGCTTGCACCGCAATTTGTCAAATTGTGCGCACCGCGATAGCAAGGACATCTGAAACTCAGTTATGTCCACAGGAAATTTCATCCCTGTGTCACTTAAATTAATTATAGCTGATCTGGAACAGTTATTCTTTGCTAAGGAAATTGTACTCTTAACTCTTCCTAGACAACAGACGACAAAAGGTGGTGCTTTAAAAGCTAAGACTTCCTAGAAGACTCAGAGCGTTGGGTAATCATATTGGGATTAATTCCTGCCGGCCAGCCACAGCCAACGCCTCCTCCTCCCCAGCAATTCAACTCAAGAACAGCCATGCCCACCAGCCTGGGCCTCCCGCCCCGATCCTGATCCTGCCCCGGCAGCCGCCGATGGCGCTGCCAGAACAAGGCAAGTGCTCGGCGCTGCAGCCCCGGCCCCAACGGCTGGATGGATGTTCAGGGACGCGAACGTCATCTGAGTGACCAGAGTGGATATCCTTTTCTCAGAACCAGGCTTTGGTTAAAACTTACCTGGAAAAACAAAGATAAAAGCGGGCCTACATCTTAGGCAAGCTTCCTTCTTATTTCAATGCCATCTCTCGTTTGAGCTTCCCACTTGACCGTGGAACTTTGTCACCCTCTGCTAAAATTCTGCATTTACTTTAAGTGGTGTTATCAGTCTTTGCATGTATTTCAATGCAGCATGAAAGAAATTGACTGTCAGAAAGCTGTTGAATTATTCACATTCCCATTAAACCGTATGCTACCCAATACCAACTGTAACACGCTCCACATTACAACATAGAAGCAAGGGCCAATTTCGCCTGAAATACCGTTTTCAGAGTCATTCTCCCCACTAAGCATTGTAGCTGAACACAGTTCTCAGCCGACACAAATTGTATGGGCCAAGATAACCGTGACAGGGAAGAGCTGGTGGCCTCTGCCCACCAAACCCCACGTCCCCACAGGCACGGCTCTGCCCGAGCCCTGCCGGGCACACACAGCTAGGGCTCCCGCAGGGACAACGAGGGCCGAACTCGACCTTGCTCAGCACCACCAGCATCCTAACACTATCAGTAAATTATTATTGCAGTCTTTAAGTCTTATGTAGTCTTCAGGAGGGACCAGCTGGGTTAACTCCCCCAGCAAGCAGGGTCTGCAGATCTACCCCAAACAGGGTACACCACTCACAGCACCAAGTAGCACTCAGCAATTACGGGAGGATAGTGCTCTGAACTATGACAAAAAAATATTAGAAATTAGGGAAAGGAGGAGCCACACAACAAAATAAAAAGAAAGGGAAAAAACCCTGAGTTTTAAAACCAATAGTGCCATTTGGGAAAGTAACCAGCTCTTGCATCATGCCAGCTTACCAAATTAACTCTCTGGTAGTTAATAAGAAAAAGGAAGCATCAGATTGCCCCATACTTCTCAGAAACAAGAGGGCAAAGTAAAGGATGGGCCCGAGACACTCACCACCTCACCCCAGGAGCAGCCGGTCAGCAGCACTCCCTCTCTCCAGGTTAAGGGCACCGGGAGGAGCTCCCCCAGCTGTGCCAGATTTAAGGGGCTGGCAGCAGGCAGCATGCTGGGAGGGAGCAGCCCACGTAATCTAGAAATTATGCTGTCTTATTTGGAAATATCATCTCTGATCCTCACTTGTGTGGGCATCCCTGCACATTACATTTGTGCATGTATATGAATGAATGAATGTGTATGTATCTGTGTGCGTATGTGCATGGCAAGAAGGATGTCGCTTTCTTGCAGTGATTACTTCTCACTACAGAAATAATAATACTTCAAACATTTTAAAACACTAACCAGATCCACTGTGGCTTTTATAAGTACTTTTTTTCCTTTTCCCAGAGTGAGAAACCAAAATATCTCACACTTTATATTTGCAAGGGTACCTTGTTTGGTGCAATCACCTTCAGCTGCAGCTGGAGGCAGACGACCAGCCTGGGCTGACCCCAGGCAAGCAATCACACAAGTGCAGCACGAAGCTGCCCTGGCCCAGGTCACAGAGCCAACCCGAACGGTGACAAGAAACCCTGCAATGACCCGCGGGGAGCTGGTAGCAGCCCCAAGAGTGCAGCTGGCCCACAGCTGGGGGCCCTGCTGAAACCCTTCAGAGATGCCTTCAATGTAGGGATCGCCGTCTGCTGCAGTAACGTCAGCCCAGGAGCAAGAGAGGTGCTTCCACTTTGACATACAGAGCTAAATCAAAGCATGCCCACTGGGCATAATCCTCACTCTTCCATACATCCCAAAACTGTGCTTTGCTTAAAAATGTTTAATTTAAAATCCAGATTGTGCTGGGAACATGGGAAAAGGGATGAGGAGAGGCACAAGTAGGTGACTGTTAGGTGTGAGCGGGACAAAGGTGCTCAGTCCTGACACCTCGGGAGCCGTCCCAAAGCACTGCACAGCCGAGCATGCGTTACCTCCTCCAGCACACCCCCAGCGCTGCTTTCTTGTGCTTTTTCTTGTCTTTTCAGGTTTCTGCTGCTGTGGAGCGCGGTGCTTATCATGTACCCAACCAGTCTGGCCGTCATTGCACTGACCTTTTCAAACTATGTCCTGCAGCCTGTCTTCCCTAACTGTATTCCCCCCTATAATGCATCCAGGATCCTCTCCATGGTGTGTTTACGTGAGTATTTGCTTCTTGCGCACACACAAAGCTTGCCTCGGTTTTACATGGGATCACTCGAGGGGCTGCTCCAGCCAGGCTGGGGTCACGGCCACAACCCAAAAGGCAAGCAGGGAGGTCCCAGGACAGGCACTCTGACCACTGCAGGATATTCACTCCCTTCCCACTTGCCCGCAGCACGTACGGTGGGCTGGAGTGGTGCACAACGGCACCCGAATCCCTGTGGGTCCTTGGGAAAGTGGCGGCAGGTGAGCGTGTGGGATGGAGCAGTGCTGTGGTCCCTGCGAGCCATGGGTGCCTGGCACAGGTGACCCACCGCCATGGGAGACCCACCACCATTTGAGCCCTTCCTAGTCTGCTTTTACATTCACAAATGCAAGCGTGTAGGAAGCGCAGTACGCCACCGGCTCTGCATTAATTACTTACGGAGCTGGCAAAAGCAAACCGGAGTTACGGAGTTACGAAGACATTCACCGTTTCTGTGAGGAGGCGGCAATCCCTGCACGTTGAGCACTGCTCAGGCGCAGTTACTGGAGCTGGGGGGAGCCTTGACCGGCAGCGCCCGAGGGGGGAAGGCTGCTGGCTGCCGGGGATGCCCCTGCAGCTGGGAGTCTCCTAGGGAAAGGCAACGCTCCTCCTCACCCTCGCTCCCAGCCACGCTAGAGCTCCCTGCGGGAACGCGTGCGTCAGTCTGTGGTTTCCAATGCTTTGACTGTGTGTTCTTAAATAAACATAATTTCATTTCACTGAATTCAGTCTTTTGCTCTCCAGTCCTCCTGACCTGGGTGAACAGCTCCAGCGTTCGATGGGCAACACGCATTCAGGATATATTTACAGCAGGAAAACTCTTAGCCCTGGCCCTTATCATTATTGTGGGCTTCATACAGATCTTTAAAGGTACTCTGTGAGACAGCTCTAACACGGGTATGGTACTGTTGATAGACTTGTCTTTTCCCACTTCCTGCACTGTTTCCTCCTTACAAACCGACCCAAAGGAGCGCTGGGTTTAGCCGAGCTGTGGGGCTATATGCTCACACAGCCATGGAAAGGGTGGCACAACAGAGAAATCAGCTGTAGCCCCTTAAACAAGCCCCTTTCTGGCCCACCTTGTCAGTTTTGATAGAATAAAGAAGGGCAGCTGAGGATGTTTTGGAATAGTTACTAAATTTTTTTAATTTGTTAGAGGTTCCCTAAATTTGAAGTGCTCTGGGCGTCAAATGAACAAGCGATGCCTTGCCCAGGACAGGAAGACACCTGCTTCATTTGGGGCACTAGTCCAATTTCCTACAAAAAGTCACTTACAAGATTAAAAATAGGCAGAAAAAGTCTCACTGATTCACCAACTGAATGGAAAGCAGAAAACACAAAAGGCTCACAATGTTTTTGTCGTGTATATGATGAGTCATAAAAAGGAAGATGAAATATGACATTTACAGAGAGCAGAAAACTTGTTTTCTCAGTGGTAATAGTCCCACAATCTTGACAAATCTTCCAGCCCCGTAGACATCTCAATTTTCAGTATTTCTACTAAACACCACCAAACTCTTGTAAAAGAAAACTGCATTAAGAGCAGGTAGGAATTTACCCTGCCAAGGAGGAATCCTCAGACAGTGCAGGTTGGCAAAGGGTCCCACGAGCAGCGGCGGTGACACCAGTGCCGCGGCACAGAGGGCAGCGAGGGATGCCCATGCGTACAGCCCGAGCTGCCTCCGCAGGATGCCGTCCGGCAGAAAGCACTGCAAGTGCGATGCCAGCCCATGGTGACATGAAGAGCATGAAATCCCAAATCCTATAAGGAATAAAGAATAAAAAGCAAAAGTTTACCTATTTTCCAGTGTCTCTGGTAGGTAGGGGTGGCTTAACATCTTGCTTGCGCTCTGTGTGCAGGAAACTATGAAGAGCTGACACCAAGCAACGCATTCAATTTTTGGATGACTCCATCCGTGGGGCATTTAGCGTTAGCTTTTCTTCAAGGGTCGTTTGCGTTCAGTGGCTGGAACTTCTTGAACTATGTAACAGAAGAACTGGTTGATCCCCGCAGGCAAGTATCCATTTCCATGCCATCCGCATTTTCTTGAAGTGCTGAGACATCGGAGCCATCTGGTAATATTATTCATTTAATAAGCTGCAACGATGTCCTTCATGTCTATGAGACTGGTCTTTCTAAAGGAAAGAGATATTTTTTGTTCAGAACAGAGAGCAGACAAGTTAAAGAAATGCTGAAATTAAAAATGGATTGCACAAGGCATTAACTGAATCAGACCAGCCTATAGACAAAGCAGTATCTTTATGGCACTATTCAATGGTACAGTGCTTCTGTAGCAGAAAATTAACCATCGGTGAGGTGCCACACAAGTATCAATAGAGAGAATCACTTCTATCAGAAAAAATTTGAATTATGCTGGAAGTCGCTTTGCTTTTTCACCCAAAAGGGGATCTTCCACAGACACCTGAAAGAGAAGATTAGAAAGTTGTGCGGTGAAGGCAGCGCTCCCTGCCCCAGCGAGGCTGTGGGCACCTGCCCGACGGGACGACCGACGTCGGGTGGCTGCTGGTCCTGGGTACAGGAAGGGGCTTGGAAAGGATTATCATGAGCAGGCTGGGAAAGAGGGAGGGAAAGTGAATTTTAGTCTAGTAAAGCAAAGTTCAAATGTTTCAACATTTCTGAGCTGATGAAGTGGAATGACAAATGCCAAGATCAGCTCTTGCAGCGTTAGTTATTTCTGGGCATCCAATGCACACGGCAATTAAACAAGGAGAAATTTAAGCTATTACGCAGCCTGGATGGGAACTAATTCAAGCTGCAGCCTTACGAGTGGCTCTGCACACGCCTTCACACTAGTGAGTGGCAAAGTGCACGTCCAGAGATCTTGGCGGGAATAAAGAAAGTGTGGTGATGTGTTCCCTCAATAGAACATCAACATTTTAATGGATCACCACAATTTCAAAACTGAATAATGAAAAGTTATGACTTAAATAAGGCAAATATGGCCTCAGTTGAGAAATAAAGAGAAAAGGGAGTCAATGGCCTTTTTATTATTATTATTATTATTTTTGCAGCCTCTGAGGGGAAATAAAAATATTTTTAAAAATTGGATAACCAAGAACACTTCCCATTTTTACTAAATCTGTTCAAAATCAGAAAGGCTAAATGTGTTTTTTAGAAACTTTTCCAAATCTGACACACAGAGAAAAATGCATTATTGCATTAGATGCAGAATGGTTCAGGTGTCCACCTCTAGGGAGGTCTCTGGATACATAGGGCTTCTGAGAAACGGCCGTTCCGTTTTTCAGCCACACACTGCCTCAATCCCAACCAACAGCCCGAAGGGAGCACGCGGTGTTTTTGTGCCAGGGAGCTCCCCTCTGCAGACGTGGCGTTTCACAGCACTTTTAGCCTTCTCCAACCTGCAGCAGGTCAAAGAGCTGATGGAAGCGCTGCTCCCTTCCAGAGAAAGAGCTGATGAACCCACCCAGCTGGGTGACTTCCCCCGGGCCGTACACGGTTGTTGTGGTCTCACTGTGCATGACTCTAATTTCTTATCTACCCTCCTAATTCTTTTATTAGGAACCTACCTCGTGCCATATTCATATCCATCCCATTGGTGACATTTGTGTATACGTTCACCAACATTGCATATTTCACTGCCATGTCACCCCAAGAGCTCTTGTCCTCCAACGCTGTGGCGGTAGTAAGTAAACCATTCCCTGGATGTCTAAAATACACTTTGATTTCAGTTCTGTGCTTTGCAGTGTATTTCAGTTTCTCTGCCTTCTGTTGCTTTAGACATTTGGTGAAAAGTTACTGGGCTATTTTTCCTGGGTTATGCCAGTCTCAGTGGCCCTATCTACATTTGGAGGAATAAATGGATACCTTTTTACCTCATCAAGGTTAGATGCAGTACAATTTTATGAACGTTATCTCATTTGGGGAGGGACTGTTTTAATTTCATTTGCTAAAGAAATGCTAACTAGACATTTTGGATGTTGTAGAGCGTGAGGTCGTTGTTGGGCATGTGGGATACATTCGCTTATGAATTGCTCTCTTTTCAATCAGCAAATGTAATACTGAACCACCGAATCTCTTGCAAAATAATCTTTACGAGCTACTGAAAGTGTCTGCAGATGTGCAATAACTCACAGTAAGAGCCAAACACGGCTTTAGCGTGGAACCAAAGTCATTTTACATCAATAAAGCTCCAGCAGCTACAAGCTAAGCAGTGCTTCGCTCAAAGAGGAGTGTTAGGGCCTGGTGCTGTTCCCAGTTACAGACATTTTCATTCCCGTGCTGGAAAAACTACTTTCACACAAGATGCTTTGCATGCACGCTGCTGATAGTGGGACCACAATCTGTAAAGATGATTTATATTAATTGACCTGTCTGAACTTAATTAAAAAGCTATACATTTTTTTTGAGGAAACAACCCAAGCCTTAAGTCCCTTGGGAAAGTTATTTATCTCAGCACTTTCACGAGTATCACAAGATGCAACAAATCTGAGCGCATATGTAACAGGTTACGCACTAAAAAAATTAAACTCTGAGGCATGTTAAACCTTATCCAAAACCCTTTTGACACTGGAAATATTATCTGTGAGATTTTTTCTGTGCCTTGGCTATGTATGGCTGATCACCTCAGAACCTTCACAGTATTTGTCCCACCCTGGGTAAAGAGGCAATGCCAGCCAGCAGACAGAGGCTGGACAGATTTTGGTCCTCCTCCTCAGAGGTAATTATATATCTCCAAGCAGTTCATTTCACAGATGACATTAGCTGTTGAAGGTTTTGTATACTCAAGGGTCTAGTTTAAATAACTTATGCCAGATTACACCGACCATCTCTAGTGGTCTCCCCAGTTGCAGCCCAGCACCCATTGGCCGCAGCTCCCTTCCACGCCAAGACTGATGAGGGCAGTTGATATTAGAGACATTATATGGCTAGATATTGAAAAGGCTGTTGCACACCCAGTGGATTCAGCGTTACTATTCTTATTTCCAGGTTATGTTTCTCTGGTGCCCGAGAAGGCCATTTGCCGAGTTTGCTTGCCATGATCCACGTCAAGCACTGCACGCCCATCCCCGCCCTGCTCGTCTGCGTAAGTTTTACCATCCCTGCTCTGTCACCTTGTAACCTGCTCAGACCTGGGGAAGCTGTTAGAAATATTCAATCACACAGAGGAGAGCTGGAAAAATCCTTGAGAGGTCATTTTGACTCCAGAGGAGGAGAAGCGAGTCAGCCAGGAGTGCTCCTTGGCCGAGCAGCTCCGATGGCCCCAGAGCAGAGCAGCCTTCAGCCTGGGAAATCATCCCTCACACTCCCAACCACCCTTGACGCTCGGAAGGTTTCCCTCATACCTAACCTGAACTGCAACATAAGCCCATTACCACTTGCCCTTCCCACAGTGGAGATAGGGACTGGCTTTGTCTGGAAACAGAGGTACTTCATTTAAGAAAAGATGAGTTCTTTTGACCAATTTTGCCTGCTTTCCACAAACGTCACTGCTAATCCCACTCAAGCAGGGCTGGTTTAGATCCCGCCGTCAAAGCCAGAGACACGGCGGGTCCCAGGGCGAGGACAAAGCACTCCAGAAGTTGCTTCTGCTCCACGAGCAATACATCTTGCGAGGGATGATGTGGCTCTGAGCACCAGGGGGATTTCTCTTCTCCGGGCCTGTAAAAAAATTAAGTAGGGAGAATGATTACAGTGGCCCTGAATAACGCATCTGCTGAACGGTACGTCAGGCAGACAAGGGGTCACCTGCAAAGATCAGAAGCTATCGGGCCAAGCGCTGGGAGGGCTTGGGGCTGGTCAGGACGCTGGTGTGCTCCCACAGGAGGAAGATTTCTCTCACCTGTTATACAGCGTAAATTTCCTTGACACTAATGACTTACAGAAGTTACTACTTGAAACGAAGATCTTCATACCCTTTTACCAATAGTGAAGCTAGAATATGCGATGGGTTTTACTGTGGCATAGAAGATGTTAAAGAGGAAAGTGGCTCCCGGTGGCCTGAGCAAGGGAATTCCCTGGAGGGCATTTGCTTAGCTGCAGATTTGCTACTGATACCAAAACAGTGCAGGTCTGATCCCAGATGCACCAGGAAGGTGCACATTTACGTGTCTCCCAGCTCTAACAGCAATTCTGGCACAATATATCCAGACTAAATTTCACCAAATAAGCCTCCTGCACATTGCACTTCTGTGACAAAACACCCACGTAGCTGAGGCTTTACAGCATTCCCGGGATTTAATGCACCATCACAAACACCTCGCACGTTGCCCGTGCAGGGTTTTGGGGTAAACTGCCCTCGGTCTGTCCTGCCCCGGGCAGCCAGAGCGCGCTGGCCCCATCACGGGCTCCTGCCGGGGCAGCCGCGTTCTGTTGGTGCCGATGAAGCAGAACTCCTTTGTCCTTAAAAATACAGCGGCTGAAATAACACGCTCAGTTGAAGAGGCTGTTTCGCTGTGAAATAGCCCTGAGCCGAGCTGGCCGAGCCATCAGGTGTACGCCAGCCCCCCGCTCTGCTCAAAGCATCCCCTTGAATTACAGTGCAAATCACAGAACCAACGCTGCCTATCAATTCATCACTGGAAGGTGTTTTAACGCAGCTCAGGGTATATCAAATGCTGCTAAGAAGTATTAATTTCTTAACAAATAGAAATATAAAAATAATACAGTGTAGGCAGCTACAATAGCAAACTGGGTCAGACTTTAGGCAAACCTAATTAATACATCAGGTTCCTTTTTCTATTCCGATGAATCACACCGAGCTCTTTGAATGGAGAAAGGTTTCTTTGTACACGGAGAAAGGCCCTTTTAACATCCCCAGCAAGACCTGTATTTTTACTAATCCTTTCAAAAATCAAGGGGCCAAGCTAAATGTAAAATAAACAGACTGGGGATTTTTTGCAAGATGTTGTGTAGGGGCCGGCTCTCCCGCCTGCCGTGCCGAGGCTGTGGCCAGGCGCTCGGGGGGAGCAGCACGCCCCTCTGCAGCCTCGTACCACTCGGGGATCACGCCCACGCTGTGAGCAGATCTGACGCATCAGTGTCACCTACGCATGAAATCTCATCGCTCCGGGCGGCGCCGCTGCAAAACCCATTAGTGGCAGGAGAGGGTCTTACGTGTGTATGACACCGTGCACCTGTCAGAAAAAAGGAAAAAAGAGGAAAGCAGGGAACATGTTATATGACATCGATATAAAACGCTGTCCTGTTTTAAATCTATTTTGCGGTGAGACTGCTCAACGTGTTGAAAGCGCCCGCCCCCGCCAAGCCTGCGAGGCTTTGAACAAGGGAACAGAGGGACCAAAGGGTCATTTGGTTGCAGCCGAGCGTAACTCCTGGTGCTGGTGGTGCCAAAGCCCTCCCTCCCAAGAGGATTTTCTATTGAAACAGCTAATTAAGCAAAAGGGACATAAGCAAAAAGAGACCCTGGAGTAACACAGCCCCAGATCCTGAGCACTCTCTGAATGGATTTGGATATTTAGTTTCCCTCAGGCTCTGGCCACCAGCAGATGTTTGTAGGACTGGTATGTGGTGCAGGCAGGGGCTCACGTGCTGCTCAGCTCCTGGGGTGCCAACAGGCAGGGGTGTGGGACCCGAGGACCAACTCCTTGGCCCTGGAGCCAGCTCTCCTGGCTTTACAGAGTTACGCAGAAATATGGTACGAACAAGCGAGCGTAGGCATGGAAATTTCCACCATCCATCTGCTGGTTTCCAAACACGAGCAATGCTCAAGAGATTAATGATGCCAGTCATCTGCAGCACGAGCCGTGAGCCGGCAGGGGAAAAGGGCAAAGCTTTTATTCTTTATAACATACAGGGCACCTGCAACAACGTAGTGCACCAACCACAACATGTTAGCCTGCAAGAAATCCCTCTTTTGCCGGAAGTCCTCATCAAAGGGTTCAGTAGCTTGTAAAACACGCAACAGAAATGGAGTGGGGCGACGGAGAGCTCTGCCAGTCCTCCCAGCCCTGCCTGCCTGGCCACGGGCAGCGGAACCATGTCTGCCAGCGCCCCGAGGTGTTTATAAACAGACTCGCTGCTCTCGGGCTTCAGCATGCCCCGAATAACCCCCAATCCCCACTCAGCCCCAGCCCTGCTGGCACAGCTCAGGGATAATGCACCGAACCGCAGGAGGCAGCAGATGCCCAGCAAGGGCCGTAGACAAAAGGAGTTTAACTGCTTTTATGGTTTATCACTTGTTTTTATTGTTTTTAAGCTACCTTAGTAATGACTCAATTAAGTCTATGCTTCTCTCTTTAAAGTGTTTGGCCACTCTTATCATCATGCTTGTTGGAGACACATACACGCTAATCAACTACGTGTCATTTATTAACTACCTCTGCTACGGAGTGACAATTATAGGCTTGATCGTGTTACGCTGGAAGAAACCCAAAATCTTCAGACCTATCAAGGTGACAATGTTAAAGCTGAATCTCTTGGTTGCAATGGTGATGCAAAGGGTGGGACGGGCACACCAAGCTCTCCATCCTCCTGTTTTGAAGAACCTTTTATTTCCAGATGTAGTGATAGTGCTTTAAGGTCCCAAACCATGTCCCAGGGGGTCCTGAAGCCGCAGCACTGCCTGCAGCCCCCCGCCACCGGTTGGCCGCTGCTGTTGCTCTGCACAGTCGTGCTCTGCTCTGCTCTCTCCTGGCAGGTGAATCTCCTCATCCCCATCACTTACCTGGCGTTTTGGGCATTTCTGCTGATCTTCAGCTTATACTCCGAGCCGGTTGTCTGTGGAGTTGGACTCATTATCATTTTAACTGGAGTGCCAGTGTTTTTTCTCGGAGTCTACTGGAGAAATAAACCAAAGTGTGTAAATAGGCTAATAGGTAAGCCAGCAGCGCGGTGCCTCGCTGCGCTCCTGGGGCTGCTGGTTGTGCTCGGTTCTGCAGGGATCTGCTCGACCTCTGACGTGCAGGCACTAAAGCAGCCAGGGAACCCGCACGAGCCTGACCACCGCTCTCGGTCACAGGCAGCCGCTGGGCACCAAGTGGCTCCGGGCTTCAGCGGCGTTTTTGTGGCCAGGCAGCGCTTGCCTTCCAGCAGCTGCTTTTTTCACTCCTG